GGGGGGGGAATCTAAACGATGAATTAAGAACGAACTGTTGTAGAGTGAGAAATGGGAGTAGAAAATTTAGCCAAATTGGGAATCAGACAAAATATGCCCCAGAATTAAGTCAACCATGTTCATATTGCTGAGATTTAAAAAAAAAAAAATGAGCCAAAACAAAAATATGCAATACAGCTTGACTTTTCACTTCAAATTTTGTGCATGTGCAGAAGAATTAATCACATCCTAACAAAATCTTTAGCTCATAAACATTAAAAGATTTCAAACCTCGTGTCCACCGTAGCATTGTTTCTGAGTAAGCATTGTACATGGTGGGCATTCGGGCTCTGCATGACAGTTATGCGTTGGTGGATGACCGCATGAATGCTCGCGTGAGCATGGCTCAGTGCATTCGGGCAACGATGTGCCGCATGGAACCGGTGGATGACGGACTGTTGATCCACACAAACAATACTGCTCCTCAAAACCTGCAGTAAATTTTTCTTTTTAGCCGAAGATGATAAATATGAGCACAAAACAGTGTGTCGTGTCAAACCACGGAAAGTGACGGATAAAATTTGCTCTAGAATGTCTTATTTTGTTCTTTCGTGTGTAAATAAAAAATATGTAAAAAGGGATCAAAAGGAGGGGGACGGAGTAAGAAATTCTGGGGAAGTTGTTCAAGATGCGCTTACAACAAGTGAATGCGGCAAAATATATAGGATTCGGCTTTCTTTCATCTTTTATCTATTCGTCAGATGATAATAAGTAACTTATTATTGTGTATTATTTTGCAAAAGTAACTTATCTCCTAATCAGTGGGAAACCTCATCGTATTTCAGCAGTAGTAAGATAGCAACACACACATACATACACACATGCACCTACACATACATACATGCATACACATACGCACATACACATACACACATCAAAGACATCTTGAAACGGTTAAAATGTTTCAGAAATTTTAAAGATGCAAACAGTGAATATCTCTATCTAGGGGATTGGAAGCTTTGTTAACTGTTTCTGCGACAGATCCGTAAAGCCGATGATCCCTTCAGAAAGCGAAACGAATATCAGGATCATTAGCAATTTGACCAGCAAGCGGTGCTGCATTGATCAAAAACAACCATGGAAATGGGAAAATTGCCAGTAGCGTGAAGGTGGAAACCCACACTCCGAACTGGCAATTAACGGCTATAATAGCTGTTCCAAACATTATTTGCAAAATGTGTCTGTGTTTTTGGCGTAATGGCATTTTGAGGTAAAAATCTAGCTAGCAGTATGAGGCCAAACCTTCAACAAGCTGAAAGGAACGCGGGGGCTGTTTTCACATTCTTCGAATCCCACACAACCCAAAATTAGTCTCGCAAAATTCCAGTATTCAAGTCCTGGAGCCGAATAATTGCGCATAGTTCTGGAGCTGAATTTTCGTGACAGACATACAAATATTCACAAGTATGTTCTTGCTATAATGATTCATATAAGAA